TGCGCTACTCAGGGACCACTTTGGCCAGTGTGCTGTGGAAGAGCTAAATTGCGCTACTCAGGGACCACTTTGTCCAGTGTGCTATGGAAGATCTAAGTTGGGCTACTCAGGGACCACTTTGGTGAGTGTGCTGTGGAAGAGCTAAGTTGGGCTACTCAGGGACCACTTTGGCCAGTGTGCTGTGGAAAAGCCAAGTTGCGCTAGTCAGGGACCTCTTTGGCCAGTGTGCTGTGGAAGAGCTAAGTTGCGCTACTTAGGGACCACTTTGGCCAGTGTGCGGTGGAAGATCCAAGTTGGGCTATTCAGGGACCACTTTGGCCAGCATGCTGTGGAAGAGCTAAGTTGCGCTACTCAGGGACCACTTTGGCCAGTGTGCTGTGGAAAAGCTAAGTTGCGCTAGTCAGGGGCCTCTTTGGCCAGTGTGCTATGGAAGATCTAAGTTGGGCTACTTAGGGACCACTTTGGTGAGTGTGCTATGGAAGAGCTAAGTTGGGCTACTCAGGGACCACTTTGGCCAGTGTGCTGTGGAAGAGCTAAGTTGCGCTACTCAGGGGTCTCTTTGGCCAGTGTGCTGTGGAAGAGGTAAGTTGGGCTACTCCCGGACCACTTTGGCCAGTGTGTTGTGGAAGAGCTAAGTTGGGCTACCGGGCGTGCTGAAGTCCAAAGTTCTAAAAATCTAACAACCCCACAGTCCTACGGGTGGGGAAAAATCTGAGCACCCACACGCAAGTTGTGAAGTGCTCTGCCAGCAGCTTCGCCCGCGCCAACGGCAACAGCCGCCACCGAAAAAAAAAAAAAAAACGGCTTGATAAGTACATTACAACTCTACAACTATCCTGGGATCACTTCGGTAAATGTGCTGTGGAAGAGCTACGTTGCGCTACTCAGGGATCACTTTGGCCAGTGTGCTGTGGAAGAGCTAAGTTGCGCTACTCAGGGATCACTTTGGCCAGTGTGCTGTGGAAGAGCGAAGTTGCGCTACTCAGGGATCACTTTGGCCAGTGTGCTGTGGAAGAGCTAAGTTGCGCTACTCAGGGATCACTTTGGCCAGTGTGCTGTGGAAGAACTAAGTTGCGCTACTCAGGGATCACTTTGGCCAGTGTGCTGTGGAAG